TGCTCCAGATAAAAAAATGGAAATCAATTAGCCTGTGATTAAGAGCTCAGCTGGAGCAAAAACTGGAAGATACTGTGTTCCTTCAGGACCTGAGTAGACAACTAAGCTAAGGTAGGGTTAGATAAATACTATTAAATTCACATTTTATTCTCACACTTTGAAATGTTTTCACTTTGCTCTTTTTATTGATTTTGTCTTAATAACCTCTTTTAATCAACTGACCCATCATTAATTGTGTTGTCTCAGATTCTGTTATCTGTGGTTGAATTAATGAAAACAATATGTTTACCACAGCCGCGAGCAGTAAAGGCCATTGACCCTGGATAACAAACAACCATGATACTTATCTGAACATGTTTACTCTAAAAAGTGATAGCTGCAGCTGCAGTGATCAATAATAACGCCAAATGGAAAGTAGCTTGGATTCAGAATAGAAGTGGCAATTTATCTTGAATATCGCTTTACCACATTAATCCAGCTCTTACAGTCTAATTAAAATGACTTATATGGCAATTACCTTTTGTGATTGATACAGTATGCTTGTGTTTACTGATTAGGTGCATCATTTATAATTGGCTTCAAAATATAATTGCTTTTTAAACAATTTCTGAGGCAGTTTGCACTACTTATGATTCATTGTAATATTTGCTTTTGCATGGTTTTTAGGCAATTTATGATTCAGGAAGTGGCACATAGTCATTTAAAAAAGTGCAATATAAAGGGTAATGAAATCTGTATCTTAGGTATGCCAACAACCAACTGAAAGCCTTAAGCACTTTGTGTTTGCACAGGTGTTCAACTAATACTGGAAGTATTAATATTGTCCAGTTTGTGTATTTGTCGGAGAACTGCCAGATCCATCACCAATGAGTGTCACTATTGCTGTTTAGAAATACATTGCCATCAGGTCAAATTCATCAATCGTATTACTCATCACTTTACAAACAACAGAGACAGGCAACCTCACTTAAGGAGTCACCATTTTGCAGGACTGATAGGTCAGAAGTAGCTACCCTCAACCCGTCCAAGGTGATCCATTTCAAGATAGTACCAGAATAAAATTGACAGGACATCTGAAGATCACTTCAATAATTAAAGTTGGAACAAAGACTTGAAGCATGTGATGCATAAAAGAAGCGCCAAGGCTGTTTAACCTTGTAACTGATCACTCTTAAATCATCAATTTAAAAAAATTCAAAACAAGTGAGTTTGTGATTGATGTTTCAAGTTCATTCGAACTGTTGAGTCAGGGATGCCCCACCAAGAACCTTGAGAGCTGTAGAATGTGAAATGTTTTCATTTCAAAGAATCTCTTACAAATATCAAAAGCTTAAGTACTTAATTCAGGGGTGACCAACTCTAGAACTGGGAAGCAATTTTTGCAAAGTTTGTAAATAGGGAATTACAGATGTAAACATTGGACGTCTGTATCCAACTCCAATCTTTTTAAACTCTATTCTTTCTAGAAAATGGCAGGTGTTCTAGTGCAATTAAATTTGAAGATACTGGGTACTTTACCCTCATCTACAGTACCTATGGAACTAGACACTATACAATATTATGTCACTTAGTTGTCTTCATTTATAGTATTAATAGTCAACATAATTGTGACACACAACTATTTCATGCCTGGCTTTAGTTTTTTTTTAGCTGTGTTGAAGGAATTCCACTGACATTCTTACTAAAACATCCTTAGTGAACACAGCATCATTATTTCATAGGAAGATACAGCCCTCTGCTGGAGTTGCTTCCACAAGACTATTTTTTTTAAATCTGTTCAATAATATGGACAGGCAAATTACCATATGTGGATATTTTCTTTCATATGAAATGATGAACACGTCTGATAGAAGAAACATATTAATGGGTGCTGAATTAAATGTACTATACTATTACAATAGAATAACATATGGTAACATTGGGTCATCAGGTTTGCTCTCTGACTGTTTAATGACATTGCGTACTACATTTGATCAATTTTGTTTTAACAATTGCATACCCAATATTTCTCAGTCCACACTGTCTTTAAGACATGTTTCTGACCTGACAACCACAGATCACAGTGGCCAGTGATGGCCTTTCTTTCTCAAATCTCAGTATTTTTATTGAAGCCCCAACTTAGCTAATGCTTAAGATTTAATTGTACTTGTTCATTTTCCAATCATAAAAAAAACATGCAGTTTACATGTTCCTTAAGCTTTTGTTATACATGAAACCAAATCTGCAAGCATTCGGGTCTCAATCATAAAGATACTGTATTCCTGCCTTGCAGAAATGAAGTTGTGTGACCTCGCCACACACGATTCTCTTCGGTACACGTTGTCAGTGCATGGAAGTCAGTTTTCCCCCTTCATTAACATGACAGTGCAGGAGAGATGAACGGTTCACAGGAACACAAAGAGGATACAAATCTTCATTTGGCTAAAAAAAAAGCTTGATCTGAATTCAAAGACTTGGGGAAAGTGATCTTGCAGTATGCTGTGGTTTTAGGGTTCAGGTTTCCTCTCTCATGAGGGGTCATCTGTGTGTTTTGCTCTTACCAGAAACATATCAAAAGCCAAAAGCTTGAAATTTAAAACAGACCTAGGTACAGTATTTTTTATTTTTCTATTTCCAGAAGTCTATCTTTTTGGTAGGTTTTGATCTCATTTGATCCCAAAGAAGGCACAGCATTACTGGCTCGTTGTGCTCTGGGCCTGGAGAGCTGCTGTGTGGAGCTTGTCTGTTCTTTGTGTTTGTATGGGTTTCCCCTGGGGCCTGAGGCTCCTTCCCAGAGTCTGAAAAGCTGACAAGCCAATTGGCTTCAAGGAGAATTGGCCCTGGTGTGAGTACGTGTGTATCTTGGGATGGACTGGTGTCCCTTTCATGGTGTACCACGTACCATGTACCATATCTTACTGGGATAGGCTCTGATGACCCCAAAGAAAAACAGATTATTAAATTTATTATTTTTTAATCCATATTCTTTTTGCATCTAAAGACAAGATAACTTTCAGGAAGCAAGAAATAACCACCGTGATTTTAAAAGTTATAAGTGCTTTTATTCAATAAATAAGCTTATACATTTCTAAATCATTCTAGGTTAATTTTGTGCTTTCAAAGATTTAAATGTTCAGAAGACCCTTAACCCAGTGATAGAGGATTTGCAAATTTCAGGTAATTTTCATTTTCTCCTTCAGAATTTAAATCATGCATTAGAAAAACATTTCATATTACTGTTTCTGAATTAAAATTCTTGATATATTTACTCTACTGTACATAATGTGCACCTTGTCTTACCATTAACACATCTCCTGCCCTGAGGAATACATTAACTGACCAGTAGAGGGTACTCATGTTACTAGTTTACCTCTACAACACTACCTAAGGCTTTACAAAACTTATAAAGAACTGAAACAAAACCTCTTTAGGATACTGGTAAAAGGCAGTGACAATCATGAATGAAAACTTTCTAAAAATAAGGTGAAACACTGGTAGCAACAGAGATTTTCATACAAATGGAAGCTTTTTCTTCTATAATGTGTTTGAATATAAAAGAATTTAAAATCACAAAAACAGTGCTTACTCAAATGAAGGTCTTACATACCAGTGCCACCAAGCAAGATGAAGACCTCCTGGATTTAGCTGTGGGAACCCAACCTAGACACACTATAGATAAGATGTTAAATTTGAATAGTGGGTCTGAAGGATTCTGATAACTAAATTCAAGCTAATGTAAAAAAAAATAATGAAAATGCATTTCAGTCCGTTCAACAATTACATCAAAGTTATACCAAACATGTTACATTTTAAAATACTAACACTAGATGCCCCACCTACACAGTTTCACAAAGAAGGCTGAAGTGACAGTTTGCCACTGATACACCAAGAGAACTTTCTCAAGGGAGCATGGCGTTTATTGGTTGCAGCACATGATGGTATGAACAAGCCTCTCTGATCGTGTAGCGGCACAGTTCTGTACTCCTACGGAGAAAAACAGCAGCATACCTCAAAGCTCCTCTCACCTGTCACTGTCCACTCCTGTATCTGGTCATTTTAAACAACATGTCGCATGTTTTTGAAATTCCTGTTGCCTCACGACTTTGCTCTGCTGTCACACATTGGTACAAGGGTTGCCCCTTAGGAAGCTTGATTCTCTATATATCAGAGGTCTCTAATGCGAGCAGTCAAAGTAACTCATGTAAAACATTTCACCTGGATTATCCACAAAAAAAGTTACACTACTTGGATTTATCTTTAATTTGTAAAATAAAACAGCATCACTGTTTTTGAGTAAGACAAAGTTTACCTTGTTTACAAGACAAGTGTATTTCACACTGAAAAGAGTGCATCAATCAAAGACAGCAAACAGAAAAGAACATTAGTACAGAATCAAAGAACAGGGAATTGTAATTTAACAATGGCTTCTTTCGTGCATTTTTTACATTAAAGACACTGAGTAGGAGATCATTTCTTTGTAATATTGATTAACCAGACTGTCTATACCCAACATTAACCTGGACACACCGCTTTTCTCTTATAAATAAAAGCCTTAAAGCACGACTATACATGATGGAAGTAACATTTGAATTGGTGATCCCTGTTCTTCACTTCTGTATTATTTCAGGAAAACTTGAAATTCAAATTGCTTTCCAGGACATGGAGGAAATAAGGCATAGAAACAAGATATTGTGGACATCAGGAAAGAATGTGTGCTGGTCAACGCTGTTATGATAAAAGTATCACTTTTTGTGCAACTAGTTACAAAACCAACATGGAAGACTTATATCTTGCATTAAATAAAAATACCTTAGAAACAGTAATCATTTAACCCTTTATGGCCTATCAGGCCTTAAAGAACCTGCTAGTAGAAAAAGTCCATGAACTCTGAAATTTGGGCTTCTGGCCTGACAGAACTACAAAGTAATGTCATAAGACATTAGACTGAAGAAGCAAGATAGACATTGGCCAAACGTTTCTCCTAAAGAGCCGGATGTGAATGGTGAATTGTGTTCCACTTAAAAAAAAACTCGGCCACATTCCAGGTACACACACTCCATTCCTTGAAAGTAGGTGGAAAAAAGACTGCATGTTTGAGTTTTAACACACCATTTTTCATTGAACTCTTAGCTGAATCACTATTCCAAGAAACTTGTTCATCTTCGGGAAATGTATAAACCTGTTAATTGTATGTTTCTAACAAAGCATCAGATGCACACACCTTATATAAAAACAACTGACAAATATAAATCAATCAACCTAATAACATCAGAACATTCAATGTAGGTACAGAGAGACCTGTCACAACTTCCAAAATCTTCCCATAAATATTGTTTTACAACAGGAACACATTTCTTCATTAAAGAAAGCACTGCTACAATACATCACTCTTTTTAGACCACAAGCAATAAAGGTTCAAATACCAGGAAATTAAAGTGTGACCAATAGCAATGGCCAGTCAAAAGCCAGAGTGATGCTGTTCTTTACTGATCAGGAGGTTTTGTAAGTGTTCTTAAGTGAACATGTCTCTTATGACAGATTGCACAGACTTGGGCAGCTGACCTCCACCTTTCACCTGTCCATCTGGAAAAAAAGGAATTCAAAATCGTACGAAACCAGAAAATACAGAAGTATGAGAAACAACAGCACGTTTGATTTACAATACTTTTAAGGAACCAGAAACTAGAAGATCTGGAGTTGCACGGAGTGATGTCATTACCCCTGGAACTGTATTTCCAAAAAGACTTACGCAGAAAACCTTTACGACATGGAAGTTGTTACAAACTTGTTTTTTTAATTAAAAAAAACTTGAACAGATTCAAATTGCACCTTTTCTAAACAGTGTAGGAGAGATTCAAAAGCACGTTATGACAATGTCCATTCAGATCAATCAACTTCCAGCCAAGAGCTGCTTGATCTGGTGGTAAAACATGGCAGCTCAGCTACCCTCAAACCACACCACAGCCTGGTTCCAGGAACAGATGGAATCACTGGCCAAGTCTCTTACAGAAGAATTAGAAGGGAACATACAGATTGTGTAGTATATGCTTGTTTGCTCTGGTCATACTGCAATTTGTAATTAATAAGCAGCCCATTTTTCTGTTATCATGTCTACTACTACTTTTGGCATTGCACATTGAGCACCACAGCTCACAAACAGTACATTGGGAGGCAAGTGAAGATGAAACATGCAATAGATCCACAAAAGTTTAGGACCTACATGTTTTGTTAGCATTATTAACATATGCACCTTTCACAAGTTAGGAATATTTATCAATACTGTTTTACTGAATTGCAACCACTTTCCATCCAATGAAACCAGCTGCACCTTGTACTGGGATCTACTATGGATGTTTCTCTGTACAGGAGTAATAAAGTCCTGCAAAATACACCTGCTCTTCTTGGATCTCAACATGGTCAATTCGATTCAAACATGACAAGCCTCAAATCACAGCCCCAAAGCAGAAAACTGGCTAAATCTTAACTGGAGTTGTCATTCATTCTGCCCTCAGTCGCATCCCAATGTGCCCTTTTAAGTGCCTGTAGAAGACCAGACAAAGCTCCGATTGTGCACATCAAATTCTGCTGTCGCCCAGAACTGTGACAGATCGATGGTTACTGTTATACAAAAACCGGTGGGCAGTACAGCCCACATAATCCAAATGCATCCAGCCCAAGTTTCACAGCAACAGTACACTTCAGTGCACTCTTGACAAGACTACAGAACCTAGTTAGAAATCTGTCCTTCCTACATTTGAGTGTTTTTATTGTGTCACATCATAGAGCAGCACCAAGTTATTTTACTCTTTCTATACTATTAAGCACCATAAGCTTTGAAAGATTTCATGGGGGAAAAGATGCTTAGTGACTTTCATAATGACAAAGCAAGACCGAGTTTTGATAAGAACGTTTTGTGAAAGAATCCTTCAGCTGCATCTCACTCGTGAGGTATGTGTTGATCTCTTGGTCCTGAGGCTATCTAGTGTTGAGCCATTATCCCGGATGCAGCACCTTACTTTCCTTTTAAATCCAACTCAGTACACTAACCAGGATCTACTGTGCTTAACTCCTGTGATATGACAAAATCAGGCACCAAGTTTATTAAATAATGCTTCCTGAAGTGACGGTATGCTCCTTTAAGAGTTCCTGAAAAATACATAAGACTCCAGTGTAGCTTTAGGGAATGCTTTATAATTATCTTGCATAATGACATTGTTTTAATATTGTTTTGAGAAATTACATCATTAAAAGTTAAAGAAAGGTCTCCAGCAAGAATATTAAAGTACCATACTAGTGGAGTATTTACAATTTCCTTATGAAATTTGCAATTTCTTTATCAATTGCATTTTTTAATAGGTAAAAAGCAAAATAAAGGCAATTTTAAAATGGGGATTGGGTTTTAAAGTGTACATAAATGATAAAAGCAGTAATTACTCTGTGGTACATTTGCTTGTCATTTCCAAACAAAAGTCAGAGATAACACTCTGGCAGCAGTGCTCTGTGGAGGGAGGGTCTGCAGTCCTGGGGGCAGACTCTCCCTCAGGCTCCCCTGTTAGCTCGGTACCACAGGAGTCTCCCGCTAAGGAGGAAAGCAGAGGCCCGAGTTCTGGGCAGGCCGGGCTCCCGCTGGATGCAAGCAGCGAGGAAAGGGGGCAGTTCGGAGAGGAGTACTTGGCAAACACCTGCAGCTGGTCCTGCGTCAGCGCCGCCTCGCTGCATAGCCTCTGGTACAGCTTGGACAGATCCTGCCGCGTCTCTCCCATCCTCATTTTGAGCTGCTGCTTCTCCTCCAGGAGCTTCTCCTTTTCGGTTTTCTGTAGGACAAGTGGTTTTGAATGGGTAAAAACCGTGCCTTTCACCGCTGCGAACCTTTAGCCATTTGAACATGATTCAAAAAGTTATCGAACATACAAAGAGTTTTAATATTAGACGGGGCACATGATTTTTGGGGAAAAGGCACAATTCCTAATAGGCTGTGTGATTTCAGAGGCTCATACACATCAAGGCCCTGGGTACGAATGAGGCACGGGCTGAAGCTGGGAATGAGCACAGAACAGATGTTATATGAGAGCTGGAGGACTGATTCACTGAACAAATGGTTTGGTGTCATGTGCAAACACGTGGCACAACCTGACAGGGGGAAGTCAGTGTTTGGCTGAAGGGAAATCTGCAAAACAAGGCCATGCACTGGCACGGTAAAGACTTGACAAAGTACGCTTGATTATCAGAGTGAGAAATTCACAGTGATTATTTAACAGGCCCTATCTTTTGAGGTAAGCCTACCCATGTCAGGGGGTCCCTAGTCCTGACCTGGGCCTACACTCTGTTGCTGTTCTTCTGTCTAGCTGAGAATTTAGTTGGTCAATTGAATCCTTACTACCTACAATAATTAGCTGTCCTACTGTCTTCAGCCTTTTAGCTATTGCATTTCCGTAAGTAAAATAAAATCCCAAACTTTTTAGCAGAAAAACTTCCACACAGAAATCTGATAGCTACAATTAGGTGATTATGCCTGGCTGGAATGAAAACCTAGTGATCCTAGACAAGAATGGGAACCCCCGCTGTAAAAAAACCTTTCAAAGCACAGCTGTTTAACTGTAATCATATCTTTAAGACCAGTCAAGAAAGTCAGAGACTGAGGTGGAAGACGATTGAGTTCAAATGCCCAGACTAACTGATATTTAGAGGTAGCTATAAAAACCCCTTGCTTTCCATTCAGTGCATGCTTGTTTATAATTAAATGAGTGCTTGTTACTCATCCTGTAATGTGAAGGCATATAGTGAATGAGGCTGAGATCTAGCCTAATTTTTTTTTTCGGCTCACAAAAGAAATTGCCTGTCTGTTTCACTCGATTTCTTTCATTTTAAGGTCCAAGAGTGAGACGCATTAAATTACGGAAATCCCTTACAGCACAGTAACACCTTTGTCACTTGGTTTTAACTTCTATGCTTATGTGAGGGCTGGTCTAATTTAACCGATATGATAATGTACAGTTGTGTTCCTTCTAATCCCATCGTATAGCCTTTGTTATGATTCTATATCTGCTACACAAAGAGTGATTAAGTGTAGAACTCGTTTTACTTTTAATAAACTCATTTTGAAAAGTTGTGAGCCTAATTATAGGCTGTTTTGCTTATTTCCCATCATGGCCACAATAATTAGACATGGACATTCAGAATGGCATACACACCAGCTTATCGATTTCAGACTCCAGGTTTTGAATGCAGTCCAGCTTTCTCTTGCGGCATCGCTGGGCTGCGATTCGGTTTTTACTTCGTCGCCTTACGTCGTGAACAAAGTCCAGCTGTTCCCGAGTTAGTTTGTGGTATTTCAGCATTTGCTGGAAATCGTTTCTGCTCAAGGAGGCAATCTCTTCGACAGAGAATGGCAATGCTACCTGGAATTGAAGAAAAAAAAAACACTTAGCAATTGACCATAGAGAATTAAAGACTTTTTTCAAATTAAATACTTTTAAAATTGGTGCTCATTTGGTAGTCAGCTAGAAATGGGTAGAGGAAGTCTAACAGACTAACAGACTTTGGATTTAATGGACTAAATGTGCAAAAGACAAAATTTGTCTGTAAAGACTTTCCCTGCAATAATGGGAAAAGCACAAATAATAAAACAAGATAAACATAAATATTGCATACGTTTATAATTCAGGGGATACAAATGTTGCCCTATAGGGGTAAATCAGTTGCTTATGAAGGGTGCTAATTTTACACAGTATATCTATGACACATTAAATAAAGAGTTTGTATATTTATGATGAAAAGGTAAAGGAACAATTATCATTGACTGTGTTGATTGCAATTGTTAAAAAATAAACCAAAAGAAAGCATTAGTTTATATAGTATTTATATCCTCAGTGTGTTTTTAGGCTGAAAAAAAATGTAATTTGTGCTTTGAAAGACTTTTTTCCCCTTTCCCCCTACCAGTCCATTAATCCAAGAGTTTACTGTAATTACAGTGCCATGAAAAAGTATTTGCCCCCTATCTGATTTCCTGCATTACTGCATATTTTTCACCTTGAATGTGATCAAATCTTCAACCAAAGCCTAATGTTATATAAATGGGATCTTGAGTTAATAATTACCACAAAGTCATGATAATTTATTAAAGAAAGTTATACAACACCCAATGCCCCAGATGACAGTAGTAATGGCTCCCTTAGACTCAATAACTGGTAACACCACCTTTAGCATCAATAACTGCAACCAGACATTTCCTGCAGTTATTGATCAGTCTCTCACAGTACGGTAGAAGTACGGTAGATCTTGGCATACTCCTCCATGCAGAACTGCTTCAGCTCGATGATATTTGTGGGTTTTTGAACATCAACTGCTGGTTTTAGGTCCTACCACAAAATTTCAATGAGATTTAGGTTAGACAAGGCCATTCCAAAAACTCAAAATATCTTGTTTTTCCACCATTATGATATAAATTTACTTGTGTGTTTCGGATGACTGTCAGCTGCATGACCCAGCTGTGCTTCAGTTTCAGCTAAGATAGTCTGACATTCTCCTCTAGAATTAGCTGATCCACAATGGAATTCAGGGTTCCTTCAATGATGGCAAGTTGCCCAGGTCCTGACACATCAAAGCATCCCCAAATCATGACACGACCACCACCATGCTTGACTGTTGGTATGAGTTTCTTACTGTGGAATGCAGTGTTTGTTTTCTTCCAGACATACCAGGCCCCACTTCAGCCAATAAGTTCTACTTTTGACTCATTGGTTGTTGGAACACTTCCAAAACTCGAGAATTACCCAGGTGTATTCTAGCAAACACTAATGTTCTTCTTGAACGTGAGCAGTGTCTTTCTGATGCTGGAGTCATGAACACTGACCTTAGCCAAGGTGAGAGCGGCATGCAGATCCCTCGATCTTGTTTAAGGTTCTTTGCAACTGCAGGATGGCCACTCCAGGGAAGATTTAATGCTGACTCAAACTTTCTCTATTTGGACAATATGGGTTTGACTGTGGTTTTGTGAAGCTCCAGAGCCTTAGAAATGGCTTTGTAACACTTTCACACTGATACTAGACATTAACAATGGAGGTTTTCAGGAATTTCTTTTGATCATGGCTTGACAACTCACAACTTGACAACTCTGATGATAATGGCTAATTACTCAAATTTATATTGGGAAAGGCTATTGGGAAAGGCTGGCCTAAATCAGGTCTGACTGTAAATCAAAGCATTCTAACAGCTGACCCTAATTAGCCCTTTAATTGGGTTGAGTTCACTGGGGGAGACTAACTTTTTCACACCTGAAGATTGCATATTTGATTACCTTGCACACCAAAACAAATGAAAGAAGTACCAAACTTTGGTAACTTTGGTGTCATTTATCTCACAGACTCTCCACTATATACTGCTACAACCCACAAAAAGACTTAACCAAATTCACTGTGAAAAATGTGCAAATTTGTAGAAAATCATACTGGGGGGCAAATAATTTTACATGGCACTGTAAACGCATGACACAAGACATGTATGAACCACACACTACTCATTTCAGTCCCAATTGTTTTCTAAAATTCAATCATTATTCTTATAAACTCCTCCTTCCATTATCAGCAGCAAAGGCTACTGCACACCCACTGAAAAGACGCTATTCAACATTTGATAGTATAATTTGAAAATAAGTACGAAAGCTTTACCAAATTGCAGTTCTGTTTCATATCTACAAGTGCAATCGGATGTAAATTGAAACAAAAGAAGTGATTGAGTACTGGGAAATCTCTGAATATTCCATTTTAGCCTCGTTACTGTTCACTATTGCAGCCAATAATTAAAACAGCACAAAAGTGAGAAAATCAGATCTGGACAGCATTCATCTGAGCTTTCCTATGTTTGAAAGAACTGTGGTAATCCAGAGGCTACATGACAGAATGTTTCCATTGCTCATCTGTGCCTCAGAATAAGCAGAGATAAAGATAGAGGCAAATTCATAAGAATAAGCAGAGATAGAGGCAAACATGGCCAGTAGAGTTATCGCTTACAACCTTTATTGTAAAAGAGAAGAAAAGAAACACACCCTAAAAAAGGCTCCACAGCTGAAACGTTGTGTTTCTTTTCTTCATGGAATAAACCTTTACTTGTTCATTTGCAGCCTACACAAGCTGACACAGCTACATACCTGAACTATAACAAAAAAGTGATTTGTATTTCAGGACTGCAATGTTTTATAAAAGACCACATTCAAATAACCCATCCTCACCACATAAAACCCCAAACCCTTTTCAACTACCAGGCAAGACATCAATTTCTTGAATTTGTCCCAGAGGAGCCCAAACTCTATATACACAGGGGATGCACCTTTCATATATATTGGAGGCTCACTGCAGCTGAAACATCTTTGCTAACGGAGTTAGGGGGAATGTGGAAGTGTATTAAAAACGAGAAGAGGAGGCACTTCTTTACCCAAAGGGTTGTGGAAGTATGGAACAAGCCACCTAGCCATGTTGTTAAAGTTGATACCCTAGCTTCATGAACAAAATGGCTGGATAAGCCCTTGGTTCAATTAACTGTTGACTATCAGAGAGGTGAGAAGGGTAGAATGCCCCCCAGTTTGTAACTATTCTTATGTTCTTTAGGTAGGCCATAGAGAAAGTCCATAGAGAAATTTAGGACATCCTACCTAGATACCCTATATCCCTACCAAGAGTATCATGGGAATTTTAATGACAAAATAGTTAGGCTTGGTTTAAATAGTTATCCATTTTGTTTTGTTCCTGGTTATTGCTAACTGCTTGAATTTCAAGAGATCATTTTTATTTCACCAGGATACAATATAACGTATTACACTATGAACTTCCACAAGCAGTAAGCCCATTGTATGCTCTTTTCCAAAAGTGCCAAATGCATACTGATCTGACTGAAAAAGAAACAAAACATTCTGTATGGATACACAGAACCTACCCTACATTTTACGCAGAATCTATGCTACATTTTTAGCACTCAAAAGCAGGTGAGTAAAGAATTAAGGATGACCAATGTTATAAATAAAAACTATATAACTCCTCAATAAGCCGTCTGTGATTATATAAATAAAAATAAAATAAAAAACAGCACCACAGGCTCCAATAGCTGGTTGATTAACCATCAATTTAATTTTTGACATGACCGGATTGTCTTTTAGGAGGGCAGCACACCTGGTATCTCCAAAGACTCCACTCAGCAGCTGTGGAAAAAGTTTTCCCAGTTACACGTCAGTCTGCCCCACCTAACAGCACAGCCATCCAACAAAGACAGACATGCTCAGCTGAGTCAACTTCCTCAGTGTACTCTGTATATTTTTAAAGAGGAATAAGTCTCTGGTGGACAAAAAAAAAAACTCTTATGTTTCAGAGCCCAAGAAAACTGCATATGAATTATTTTAAAGATATCAAAATCGGTACAAGGAATATAATTATTGACTCAATTTATATGTTTATTTATAAGATTTTAGTTTTTTTCTTACAGCAGCTGTACTGCATTCCGAAACTAAACATTGCAGTGTGTAATAGCACTTTGCATTTTTTTTATTACACCGATTAGATAAAACATATGAGTAAGACACTAGACCAGTGGTGAAGTTTTAACTCTGTGTAGTGTGTAGATTAAAACTGTTCTGTTGTAAGTTAAATTTCAATGCGTCTACGAAGTACTATTAAAACCGAGTGCCGTTTTTTACCTCTTCTTTTTAAAGTCAACCATCTTTTGAACATAATCATTGGATCATGTATACTTCCATCACCCACCAAAGGTCATCCTATCACTTAAAACATAAACACCATTAGGGTTACTCTTTCTGAAAAGCACTCGGGTAAGTGCCTAAACCTGTTCAAAACTGGATCACAAAAATAAAACTGATGACCCAAGTTTCAACACTTAGGTAGCTGTGCAGGAGAAACCCCAAATCCACTACCCACTCACCTCACGGGCTCGCTCTCTTGTGAAGGATTCGCTGTCCCCCTCCGTGTCAAAATCGGAGTCGTCCCCCGAGTTGATTGAGGAGATATAAGGGCTCTTCTCCGGCTGCGAGACGACCCCGCACTCGATCTGCTCCTCCGTGAGGTCACAACAGTCCTGAGTGTCCAGGTCCCTCAGGAAGGGGCAGTCCGCTGTGCTGGCAGTCAGATCCAGCTGCTCGTAGCTCTTGTTGATGTTCATGGAAAGCCAGCGAAACTCGGTGGTTCCTTCCGAAGTGGCCTGCTGCGAAGGACCCCGATCTCCATCCAAGCCTTCTGCCGGAGGAGGGCAAAGCTCACTCCAGAACCCCTTGGCTAGGTGTTCAGCTACCTCCCTCTCTACACTGCTCCTTTCTCCACTCTCTCCAGGGCCAGGCTGGTCCTTCAGAACAAGACCAGGGAGCACAGGATCTGGCAGGCCAGCTTTGATCGCTTGTTCTTCTCCGCCATCCTCCAAAGCCCTGTCCTCCAGAACACCACACATTTCCAATGGATCGGGACGCAAGCCGCTGGACGCCGGGGAGCTTAACGCGAGAGACCGACTACAGCACGGTGTAGACGTCCCCGCGGCACAGAGAGTTTCCAAAACCTGCTGGCCACAAGGGTGGCACTTGTCCGTTTCAGATGTTCCATTGTCATGGTGCTCCTCCATTTCCAAATCGCTCTGGCCAGTCACGTTTCCCAGTGGATTCTCTTTCCTGTTGTCACCGGCTCCACATGGCTGGCTGCTGGGGCTGAAAGTTTCAGGTGCCGCCGAGAGAAAAAACTGCTGTATTTCTTGGCCGCAGTTCTCAAGGCAAAACCTGTCTTTCCCACAAGCAATCTGAAACTTCCTGTATTTTGGACACAAAGAAGAGAAACCAGCCTGGGTACTTCTCTCTGAACAGTTTGGGCTGCAGCCTCCGGGCATTTCTGCCTGCAATTCAGGGCACTGGACTGTATCACTCTTCTTTTTCAGAGTCCCAGTGTCAGGGGATTCAGTATCCAAGGCATCCTCTCCCACATCATCTATATTTACAGACTCTGCTGCCAGCAATTTCTCTTTCCAACATCGGCTCCTGCAGCATAATTTTCTTGGACTTCTTTGTGTGTTTTTTCCACTCTCAAAAAACTTTGGAACAACAAAATCAAAGCAGGCTTTGTCCAAGTTGTGGAAACCCAAGACCTCGGCACAATTTCGGATCTCAAGGACATTTTCTTTGGTAAAAAGGAGCTTTGCAGTGTAGGCAAACTGAAGCAGTGGGTCGAACCCTTCCACTGTTACCTACAGAAAAATATGAAGGTAACATTAAGCACAGCAGGAAGTTTTCCATATACCTGAGTAAACATAACCCTCCTTGTAGTTATCCACCCTTTGAAAAGGAAATGAAAACGGAGGTTTATTGTGATAAGCAGCCTAATAATGCATACAGGTTAGAGTAGGGAGTTTTGTCAGCATGAGTCGGCTATAAATGAACAGGTAAAGGTTCATTTCATGCTGAAAGGTTTTTCAGCATACAACAGAATGAACCTTTACCTGTTCCTCATAATGCATATCTGCCTGACAACTATCTAAAATGTATACTATATGAAAATAAGTTAATATAATATAAGTTCATAAGAATCTGCCCTAGTCTCCAACAGCATAGCATAAAAGACTATCTCCAAGCACAAGCAACAGCAAAGGGCTATGTTCTACGCATGCGATATATTCTTTAGCTAGACTAGACCAGTTTAAAGCTATGTCAAATTTTTCAGCTCTGAGCTCGTGTTAGAAGGACATTTGGGTACATGCGCATGGCCCCAGGGAAAGTTTGCAGTATTGCTAAAAACAAATCCAAAGTTTTTGGAATGAACCAAGATGTGCACGTCTCCGTTAGCTTACCTCCTTGGGAAGCGTAATGACATGGTCATGGCGGCTCGTGACTCTTGACCGGAAGTAGTCGCTACAGGCTGCAAGCACCGAGCGATGAGCTTGAAAGCTCTTGTCTTCGACCACAACAGTCACATCGCACAGAATCCCCTTCTGTCTCTGCTCGTTAAGGCACAGAAGGACGTGCGAGCTGTGTATCGAGGACTGGTAACTGAAGGTCGACGTCCTTATGCTCTCGAAAGTCATTGTGCGGTACAACTGCAAGAAAATGCAAAACATTGTCGCAGTCAAACTTCAAAATTCTGTCTGAGTTGCACAATGTTGTAGTGAAAGGTTTTTTTGAAGTGTGGCTATCAAACGTTGGAGATTTCTACATGGGTGCACTACGCATTCAATTGGATTTGCTCTTTGTGGGTGCTAAAATGCAACAAGTATCTCAAAAGAAAATGCCAGGTCTTTCAAGGCTGTCCCCTGCACCCGGTTCATGGGTGTAGTGGAGGTATGGAGCTCATTTCAACTGCCAGCACCAAGCCTCTGGAGGTGTGTCTGTGACCCTAGGGTTCAATCACCTCCCTTACTCAAGGAATAATGCGGAAGCTGTCACTGCCCACTTCAGCAAAAATATAACTAATCTGAAAATGGATCAGGTGTTGTACCTTCCAAAAAAAGACCACAACTACAAGCAGTCACTGCAGTCAGTTTGGATGATTTAGTTCAGAGTTAAAGGATTTATGCCAGCTAGTGTGTTACACTGCTTGCTTTCAGAGGACTTGCCACTACTATAAAAAACTATTCAGCTTTGCCCAATTACAGCGTCACCTCCATGTACACAATACAACACAAAACCATAAAATACTTCCAGAGCCACACATCAGAGTGTAAATGTAAAATTCTACAGATCCAACTGCCTTCCCTTAATCTACACCAGACTTTGAGAAGCCAGTCTGTCTAGCTGTTCCTGAGGCAGACAGATCCTGTATCAGTCTGAGATGCAGTCATGACAGGCAGACCTCAAGACTTGCAACTAGAAAGGTTTTGTATTTCATCTCTGATACACATCTTTCTGTGGCTCAGTTTTGGTAGATTTGATTGTATTATACAGTGTGAAAGAAAACATCTGCACGTCTGTATTCCATCTTATCAAGGAGGCCAGTGTTGTTCTATGCGTGAAAGCAAATGTGTGAATTATGGGCATAGTGTTTTGGACTAGTGCCTCACGGCGCTGGGGCCCTGGATTCAGTTCCGGACCAGGGGTGCTATCTGAACAGTTTGTATGTTGTGTGGGTTTCCTCTGGATGATCTGGTTTCCTCCCATAGTCCGAAAAGATACTGGCAGGTTAACTGGCTTATGGGAATGAGTATACATGTCCTGTAATGGACTGGAGTCCCGGCTAGGGTGTGCATACTCCTTGTCAGGATAGGCTCCGTCTCCCCCTTGAACCTGAATTTGATGAAGTGGTAAAAAAAATGGGTGGATGTGTGAATTTTGATATTTCAAAAATAGATGTGAAAAAAAATATTTACAACTTTAAAACAACGTAAGACCTAGTATAAATCATTTAAAATAATATGCATATCTACTACTAAGCCAATGCGATTTAAAACCTAAAATAAGATCAACGCTTCATTAAATGAAGCAGGTTGCAGCTTGGCGCAACTACAGCTGAGCGATGTCAAGTCATGCAGTGTGGTTAAGCAACAGCGTGCTGACTCACTCGCTTCTGCTGATAAAGGATGAACAAGCATTTTCCTGCTTCTCCGTTCATTAGTTCCCGCAAACAACTTCGTTACCTAACCGAGGCAGCATTCGTTGATATATTATTACGAGACAATAGTAGTCTAGTCACTGTAACTGCTAAGTGTATGATGAAGGTATCTGAAAAGGGTGATGTATTTTTCTTTTTTTGAGCATGTAAACAAATGTCGGAGACTGGTTTCCACTGTTAAAATATGCATCATGTCATCTGGTGAACGGTGCAGGTACTAAAATAATAATCTACACAGTGTCTAGAAAGGCTAGCCTTTCAGCCCCAAGCTTCGCGTTTTCGTATTTCATGGTAGCCTTTTTCTTGCAGCTCATGTATATTTCCTTGGATATTATTTTTTTAAGCGGTTTGAAAAAGAGGAAGAGAAACCTGCTCTGTTTGCTTTTATACAACCCGTATTTTATCTATGGTTTGCGTAACGTCTTTCCAGATATGTAATGCCACATCATATTCTCCAACTGAACTCGTGCGGAAGAAGATACTCTAAATCGTGACTTGTAAGAGAGAAACACAAAGTATTTTTCCCCGCATCCCAACGCGAATCCCGGATTTGTTTAAACTGCTTGGCACACGACACCCTTCACCGTATATTTTCGGGTTTCTGTAATCCAGAAACGTTAGCTGAGGCGAATAGTTTAAGATGCCACGGTTAGCCATGCTGTATCAGTGTGTACACTCTGATCCCCCTCTCGATGATGAAACCCTGTTACACAAGAAAAGTGGGACGTGAAATAAACAGGAAGATAGTTATCCTGAGATGGCAGACTTTACTAACCACAGACCAAACAGACCACTACGATCGTCCACGTTTTTGTTTTGTTTAAATGATTTCTCGTAGATGTCCAGTTAGCACGAAACACACAGGTCATTTTGTAACGAATAGTAATGGCACCAGCTAAATATCACATGTGTTCCTACCGTAATAAGTCTCTACTACTATCATCCTCTTTGCCCGAGTAAGGAATTTCTTAACAACCATAAACTACCACTGCAGGAAAAGACACAAATTTAGCTTGTCACTCACGACAAAATCCAAATTAGCCTTACCAAATACACATCTTGGCGTGCACAGCTACAGATTTCACCGTGACATTTGCTGGGCCTACCGAAACTTTAAAGGCTGGGATTCTCCCAAATGCCCCCTCCCAGCCCGACAACTGCAAAGTTCCTCCGTACCACCACAACACATCGCAAGACACTCCGTGGCACCGAGCGCTTCGATCCCTGTTTACATTAACCCTGACATGCGAGAGAATGCCAAAAGAGTCTTACTAACCTGTCACATCTCCTCAGCAAGAATCGATTCGGACTTTTACCAAGGAGCCCCGTGCTGTGGCAGTAAACATCCTCCTACTACCTAGCCCCATTAGAACCCTGCCTGACTGCAAGCCCTTCGCTCGGGCTGCGATCATGTGACTTTAACCCAGGGCGTCCTCGTCCCGCCCTCTAACGTGCAGCTCTTTCCTGCTATTGGCCGAAATGGCTGCCAGCTTCGTGTATTTTTCTAAACCCTCACTTCCGGTTTCAGGCACTGATAAGCTTCAACTGGGTGGCTTTGTGGGTTTACTTTCAGAGTCCTTTTTTTTTCTTTACATTTTCAGAGAAGGCTGGCACGATCAGTTTCCTATCAAGGGACGGTCGCAGAGCGACAGAAATCAAAAGTGCTTTGCACTGAGTGAGAACACGAAAAAATTAAAGTAATGCACGATAATAAAAATACTACCTAAACATGGACTCGGGGGTTTAAACACATCGTATTCAAAGCACCTTAGGAACAACCTCCGTACAGGTATTTCGGGTATTAAACGTGTGTCAGTAATTATAAACGTTTTTAAAAACGCTATAAACTAAAACCTTTCTGAGACTTGCAAGTTTTATAAAATTCAAAATCTTCTATTTCTAAATGTTCCTGGTCAAAACCATGTAGAAAGGTACTAGACTACAACCACACTGTTAAAACTTTTAGTTCTTTTTTGTCTTAAATGTTTCTTCTTGATTATCACGTGTCCTCTAGTTTTGCTTCATTGTTGGTTCTTAGGAAGGCCATTGGGTTGATTAGGGCAGCAACCTCCGCTTAGAAATGTGAGAAATAATTTTAGAGTCAGAAGAATGAAGGGAAGGACGACGTTAGAAATGAATGAAAAGAGACGAATAATCCAGAATTTAAAAAATGTCTTGGAGGTAGGAGCAACTAAGAACAAGAGTTTTGTACTGAATGGGTGCAGATATAAGGAACCAATTAATAGTCTGATTTGAAGATCCAGTTGTACATTAGGTGAGATTAAAAGTAACTTGACTGTGACAAATAAGTGTTATTAAGAATCTCTGGCTTCCAATAATTTGGCACATTCTAACTGAATTTGAAAGTTATAAATGGAGGCGGACGTTGACAGATGTGATATAATGTGGGTTTGAAAGAAAAAAAATGCTAATTTCACTCTACATTGACCTTAAAGTGTTCATTTGAATGTAACTTTGTCTTTTTGCTTTATGTGCATTAAATTTGTGTTTTGTGTTGAATTGTACCTACTCATTCTTCCAATAGTGTTTTATGCTCTAACATTTTGTGAACTATGACAGATTTTACTTATTTTTGATTATCTATCAGAAAAGTGACTTACAGTTGTTCACAATAAAATGAAAAATGAGATTTTTTTGTATACAAGGAGCGATTGTTTGAAAGGACCTGCTCAACCAGCTATCTATGAGATATATCGAGGTGTGTCCACGCAGAAATGTAAGTTATTTTTCTGTGAACATTTTGCTAGACATTTCAAGATAATTCTTATTATCTTGAACTTTAGGCAATACTGCTTTTGAGGTACTACAGATGTTAAAAGCAGCAGCATCTAGTGTTTTATCTGTTTTCTTGGTTCGCTTGGTTTTAAGATAGACTCTAAGAACTAATTTTGTCGCAGAAAACCATGCTTTGTGATTATGAGACTAAAGACAAGAGTGGTTATTAAGTTGATTGCCTTAGAAAAGCAAAACTGTAGAAGACATTCCTAGGAGATTCCTTTACAGTTTTGCTGCTTACACATTTGACTTCTGTTTTGAAAAAGCTGTAGTTCTGGGAGATGTGTATTTTTTTATTTGCTGGGACTGTTAATGTCCTAGGCTCTTGTCTTTAAACTAATGTGTTAAAAAGATCTTACAGAGATCTTGTGGTGTTGTCATGCATTCATTTTGTAACCATTTTATCCAGCACAGGGTTGTGGGGAAGTCAGAGCCTATTCCAGCAAGCAGTGGACACAAGGATACACCCTGGATGGGTTGCCTGGCTGTCAAAGAACACACACAGACACAAACATAGTCATACTCACATCATGGCCTATTTTCCCAAAAGGAAATTAGCCTACTAGTATGTCTTTGGACTGTAGGAGGAAACTGGAACTTGATGAAAACAGAAGAAAACACTGAGAGAAAATTCAAACTACACAGACAGCACCCCAGAAATTGAGCCCAAGTCCCCAGTGTTGTGAGGCAGCAATGCACAGTGCGGCACTGTGAGGTTCCCAGTATTTCATGTCCTGGTCAAATTTAATTTCATAGTTTGCGCAGGCAACAACATTAATTTCTGTATCTTTTTATACTTTTTTATTAACATTGGAAGCAGGATAGAGCAGTAGTTAGGGTTCTGGACTTTTAACTGGAGGTATGTGGGTACAAACTTCAGATGAGACGCTGCAGTAGTAACATTGAGCAAGGTACCTCCCCCATATTTGCTCTAAGAAAATATACAGTTATATAAATGGATACAAATGTAAGTTGTTTTGGATAAAATCATTAGCCAAGTTAAGCCTAAGTTAATAAATAGTAAAATAGCATTCCTCTTGCAGGATACATCTTGTGCTTTTATATTTGCGATGTGTGATTGTAATTTTTGATTGAACCTATATCCATATTTATCAAGCAGATGTTCTCCTTAAGGGGCAGTGCCCAAACTGAAGGTCACCGCCAATGCTGTCATCCATGCAGCTTCCTGGAGAAACCACGATCAGCTGATGGTTGTTTCGGAGTTATTGGCTGAATTGTGAAATAAATTTTCCCGGATTGTGTAAAAGTAAGTCGATGTTTTGGGCAAAAGTGTTACATTTTGTACAGTACATTACACATAACACAGTCACAGGGGTAAGGACAGAAACAGATCAACTGTTCATTTGTCTCTCAAATATCAGGAAGAATTATTAGTACAGAGGAAACAAAGCAAGTATGTTTCCTTTTCTGTGATTTTAAAAAAAGAATTCTTCAGTTCAATACACTAAGCTCCTCATTTCATAGTGTAACAATCATTGAAAGTATGAAATTGACAGCATTGTACTCTTCTGCTTGTATAAAGGATAATTAAAAAAACAACAACACAAGATTAAAAACAAGGCATTTGAACTTAAATAATCTCTAAATTAAAATTAATGTAAAAGTATATAGTGATATCAGGAATCCCTATTGAGTAATCATATGGTCCTTTGAGACCAGTAAGAAAAGGTTGAACAGGAGGTCTCATGGAACTTGAACTATCTGCAGTCCAACTACACCCCATTCATATAATAGGTTGGCTCTCAGCTGGTCTTAGTAATAGTGTGTGGTGTGTACACTCCATCCAGTAGCTTAGATAGTGAATGAATGGAGGCTTGTGTACAACTGAGTATATAAATATGTCATAACATTAAAACTGAGCAACGCTGAATAGTGTAAACATCACTAAAATAAACAGAAATGTTCATTTTAAGATGTTTGTGCAGAGCACCACAATTTATTTGTCTTAAAATGTCAGATGTTATCAACAACATAATTCCTTGAGGATACAGTAAGTGCACCTCAGCAAACTGATACCAAGACAGCCCTAAAGAGAAAGCTCTGCCAGGAGTCATAGGAATCAGTCAGTTGACCGTACATTTGGAATTAACATTGTAATGACTGTCAGAGAATAGGAACCCTGTCCTCAAGGACCTGAGTCTTGAAGATTGTACTTTTAGATAACGTTTAGCAAATGAAACCCAACGAAGCATCAGTTCACTGGTGATCTTACAAGTAGGTTGACTGTCTGATCCTATCCAAATAGTGAGCTCACTTAAATCAATTAAGTCATTACATTGAGATTTTAAAATGAATACCAGACCCTGCCATTTTCTACCAGCTGTTGTGGATATTTTATGATTTTATTTAGGTTAAACCCGACTGGCACATTTGTTATTGCTGCCTCGCAGGCTTGCGGCGCTGGGACCCTGGGTTCAATTCTAGACCTTGGGTACTATCTGGGTGGAGTATGCATGTTCTCCCCATGTTTGTGTAGGTTTCCTCCCAGTGATCTGGTTTCCTCCCAAAGTCCAAAAACATACTGGATTTTGATTTTTAAGAACTTTTATTTCCTTTCACAAATAGATACAGAATAACACAAAGAAGAAACTTGACAATATTAAATAGCTAAAACAGTATATATGCACACGTTCAGAGAAGATTACAAAGCCAAAAGAAAAGTATATTTGCTCAGGTAAATTAGATCGTATATCATATATCATCTTCTGAAGAACATTTGCTGGTGTTTTTTTAATGAGAAATTACATTTTTCCTTGCATGCTTCTTCTTTTCATTATTACAGAGTTTTGAGATGCAATCCTACTTCCTCTATTTTACACAGATTTTCTGTTTCCTCCTTCCTCTCAGAAGTAATAGTTATCTTTAATAATGGATAGCGCCAGACTACCCACTCCTTTGATTGGAACTTCGATGCCTTTTGACACCCCCATATTCCTCACTTCCCAGGGGGTGTCTTTTTCACTGTTTACTATAGCCCAAAACCTGTCAAAGATGTTGGGGGGTAGTTTGACAGGAGAGATGCCAAGCATGATGAAAGCAGAGGTAAGGAAAAGCTAGGCAAAAAGGCCTATAAACTGGGCCCAGAAAGCCTTAGCAACATAGAAAACCACAAGAGAGTGGTCAAAGTCTCTTCCTCACAACAGGCCATTCCAACACAGTGAGGGCTGGGAGCTGGTGGTACAAGAAGGTTTGTGCGCTCCAGTCTAAGTTTTTGTGAATGTCACACTAAAATGCAGTGGATGTGTGTTTCCACACTTTTCTTGTTTGGGCTTCTGTTAAAATGTCCACAGTGCTCAATCTATATTTATGAGGCATGTCCAGATCCTCCAGTTGTTGGAAGCTGACCTCTCTGAGGGGAATGTGACCAATTGAATAAGATCTAAAAAAGTTTCTTAACATCCCATAAAGTACTGGCATGTGTCAGAGAACAGGACATCCAGCTTGGGTCTGAACACCTCCCTACTTACCTAAAGCAAAATAAGTCCAGATACCCAGATCAGGTGCTGTCGTGAAGCCCTTCAGTACGGAGGTACGGAAGATGCACACCAGCCTAGTAGTAACATCTGGGAAGTCTACCTTAAGGACAGCAGCCTATATATTATTTTTCCCCTTAATCTTTCCTGCTTCCCACCCATAGATTGAAATATCAGTTTCCTCAACACTGCCACATAACCATGTGAGTTTGGGAAGGTGGAAGCCAGAAATATCAATGCAGGCAAGAGCTCGACTTTAGTAACCACCCACCCTGTCAGGATGAGGTCCCGGTCTTTCCACTGCATATGTTTCCCGTTTAGGATTGGCAATTTTTTCTGCTAATTCACCATTTCCATCCCTTCTCCAAAAATACACTCCCAGGATCTTAGTTCTGTTCTCTCGCAGTTCAAGATCATGTTCTAACTTGTTCCCTCCAGTTAAGATAAAAAATCTCACTCTTTGACATAGGGGTAGGTTAATTGATGTCTGGAAAAAAATGCCTGGTGTGAGTATGTGCATATTTGTGTCTGTGTGCCGTGCAATGGAGTGGCATCCCATCCAGGGTATATTCTGCCTTGCCCACATAGCTTGCCAGGATAGGCTCTGGCCACCCTGCAAACCTTATTGGATAATGCTGTAAGAAAATGGATGGACGGATATTTTAATCTTTTATTTAACCAGATAAGTTACAAATAACTCAGTTAGAAAACAAATTCTCTTTTACAATGATGACCTTATGTCCCATGTGTACAGCAAGGCAGAGACTGGAGCCATGTACAGTAAGGGAAATATCATGCTCATGGAGACAATACCAGTGTCCTACCCAGGACTTGGGCTAACAGCCCATTGGCTGGGAGTCCAGAACACTCATCATTCTTCCACACTGCTGTTAAAGCCAGTTGTAAAATGTGACACTGCTGTAAACATGAATTGTGCATTCAATAATTAGATCACATCCTTCATTTGGGTCAGTGGTACAATTCCCTATTGATGATGAGATTCAATCTGGACTGCAGGGGCAAATACTGTAATGTGGTTGTCTTGACTGAAATTGCTTGAGATGGGATAAGAAAGTAAAGGAATCTGCGTTCTTTTTCTTACTAATTAAAGGTGGATGATTTTTGAAGCAACAGCACACATCACACACATTTTCCTGTTACTTAATGTCTTACTTAATGTCTTTTTCAGATTATGCACAGTGTGATATTTCCCATTTTAGTCATAGCCTGGGGAAGGCTCTGTCAGACCTGGATGTGAAACAATTGAGTATGAAGTGTATTAAAATGCCACACATTTCAGTTGAACTTAAAGAAGAAAATCAGATTTTTCATTAGTAATTGCTGAAGTTGGTCAATTTTTTTCAAAGAGTATTATTGAGTACAATTAAGAGTATTATTGTTATTATGTATGTGGGTCATTATATACTGTTTACATTCCATTTGTCTTTCGCTAATTCAGCTGAAAACCAAAATAAGAGTAGTGTTACTATGTTAGCATTAGCTGACTCTCCGTCTGCCTTGGCATGAAATCAGAAATTTCTGGTACTGCTTTATGATAATGATGTTGATCATCGCATGTCGAAAGAGGGAAATGCCATGAATGTATTTAGATTATTTCTGTGTGTTTACTTCAAATGCATTTGATATGAAAGCCATATTAAATCATCTTATTTACTGTAAATGTATTATTGCATTTCAATTAATATATAAAGAGAGTTTAACAACAAAACAAAGAAGTACAGTATTGGTAATTTTTGTGTTTTTAAATGCGCCTTAGATCATTGGAGAGAGAGATGGAAATAAACAGTTCATGAAATAATAAGGGATTAGTACTGGAAGATAAAAATGAAAATAGTAAATCACACACGTGTTTATAAAATATGTTTATCAAATGTTCTTTGTTAAATAAGCAGTTCCGCTGGTACTGAGTAATTTTAAGCCAAACTAATAATTATTAGAAGGGAGATAAAACAAGAACCTACTGTATAGAGCACTAAGTCTTGTTTCTATTACATTTCCTGTATAATTCTGGATTATGAGACAGTTAGTCTTATTTTTTACTAGGAGTATTACTAACATATATATACTGTAGGTAATTATATATACATTCCATGTGTCTTTTGCTAATTGTGCAGAAAACAAAAATAAGACTAAGAATGTATGAAGACCTCAGCAGTGGAAAAAAGAAATGTTGTTGGAAACTACATTAGTTACATTATGGGAGTTAATGTAGGGTGAATAATAATAAAAAAACTCTTTACACTAAGAATTGTGGGTGTATGGAACAGGTTTTGAGGCTCAAACTCTGGGTTTCTTTACAAAGTATATTTTATTTGACTAAACTTCAAAATGTTCATGACGGGTCAAATGGCCTATACGTATGTTCCAATTACACTTATTTTAAAGTGTTGCCCTGTTTTCCTACTAATAATTATTGCCCACACCAAGGTGCAGATGAGAAGCACCTTTGGCGAGAGTGGCTCTGTGGCTAAGGATCTGTGCCTGTGACTGGAAGGTTGCCGGTTCAAATCCCGCGGCCAGCAGAGTAGTCCTACTCCCTTGGGCCCCTGAGCAAGGCCCTTAACCCTGGCTGCTCCAGGGGCACTATACAATGGCTGACCCTGTGCTCTGATCCCATGCTTCTCTCCCTGTCTGTGTCTGGTCTGATGGATAGCAACCTGGGGTATGCGTATGTGAAAAGATTAATTCCTAATCCAAGAAATTGTATAGAGCTAATAAAGCAACATTATCACATTAAGAGACCATGTACAGCTTGGTTGACTACTCCTTATCTGTTTGTTGCTTCAAACCCTGTTAAGGTTCTTCTCATGCTGCCCTCAGGGGCTTGGCAACTGCAATGTGACATGATAGTTTGTGCCGCTTACCCACAAAGTGTCGCACGTTGTTGCTCCTCCTGTTCTGTTACATGGCTCTCTGCTCAGTCTGACGTACACGTGTAAATTAACTTTTCTTTTCTTTTCTTTTCTTGGAGAACAATTCTTTATTGTTTAACAAAGTACATGTACCCAGAGACAGCATACACCAAGAACCTTCAAACATGAAGCAACAATTCAGGAGCCCCAGCCCATCACATACTCAGATGAAGATCATCTAGAGTCAGCCAAACTAAAAGACCAGTATAGGAGAAAACAGATGAGAAAGGAATGCCAATAGAACTTAAAAGGTTGCAACAGAAGCTGTATGATTTCTATTGCAGATGTGTGAACATCCCAATTAAAATGGACTTTTCTTAAGCTGCAGACTTCAGCCACGAGTTATTTAAAAATAATCTTTTTCTAGACTGGCTTTTAAGCTTTTTAACCCAATGGCCCACCAGTATATACTGTACAAAAACACTTGGATTTATAATAAAATGTACTTTGAAAAAAACATACAGATAATTGTTAGTTGTATTGCCATTCTGGTCTCCTGTTGCAGAGGTTCCTGAAAATTATATTGTACCTGCAAGTTGTGTGTCACATTTTGTGCCACAATCCTGCTGAATGCTGATTGCCAAAACATGCAAATGCTGTTTCACAGTGTCTGCCATTCAAATCTTGCATACTCCAAGCAGATGGATACCACTGATTCCATCCTTTCACAGTTTTAACACAAATCCTACAATAATAATGTCAACTGTAATTTTCAAATTACATTTTAAAACAGACAATAGTGACCTACCTGAGTATTTCGTATACGCTTGCACCCACAAATTGAAAACCACTAGGACACCCACACTTTCCTAATTGATTTTGCTATTACGCTTCTCCAGATTCTTCTGTAATTGTTCTTGTTTTTTTTTTCAAGCAGTTATTTAGCATGAGAGAGTATCTTTTGAGCCAACAGGAGAATCAAACAAAAGACCACAGAAAACACAACGAGGTGACACCTAATCTTGTTAGAATTTTTACTCCCAGTGAAAAAAAACAATTAAAAAACAATTCTCAATTTTGGAGGCAACAACATATGAAGAGTGGGGAGCTGAGAAGAAACAAGCTCACACTGAAAAGAAAAAAGAAAGGACACAAAGTTTGTGCTGTAGAGCCTTTTTCAGGTACTGTATGTGGAGGAAAGAGATACTGTATAGTGGGTGAAGTGGTGAGATAAAGTGGAGTAAAGAAAGAAAATGAGAAGATATAGAAGATAAACCTACTCCATCTTAAGGTAATATCTTATTTAACTGAATAAAAACAGGCTTATCAAAAATTAGGTTTATCATTTTCTAATTAAACATTAATTTCTAATGAAACAAAATTAATTTAGTGTAATAGCCTGATTAAATTATTTGTAAATTTGTCTATGTTTTCTGATTCAGATACTTTCACAAGGAATTTCAAATATTTCTCTGTTTTATTTTAATGATGTAGCACAACTTCAAACATCTGTTCTTAATGTTGAATTACTGTACTATCTGTAGATTACAGTACCTGATAATACTTCAATAAACAGTTCCACCTGAGTAATACTTTACTTTACCTTTTGTAAAGATTTCAACTCTTAGCATTAGTGTATACATTGAACATGGGTTGCAGAAAAAATACACTGAGTGCAGTTAAATATTTTTTACAATTTTTATATTAATTTGTTTTTACTTTGAATACTAGAAAACCAATTTTGAAATTACCTTTTAGTTGAAGACCTCAAGAATAACAAATAGGCCTTTAATTAGATAACCAAAGTTAAGTTAATATGTTAGTTTTTTTTATTTTTATATATTCATTTTGTCTGGTTTTGTTTAAAAGTCTGGATTGGTTCTATTATGAGGAACAAAGTTTCTATAAAAAAGGCAAAATTAGTTTTTTTGTGTTTCTGTCATGTAAGTCCCCATTCACAGTTTTTACTCGGTTTGGTTCTCTAAATGGCCTCTAAAAATTGTCATGGGTGCCATTTCACGTACATTTAAAGCAAATGAGCTAACAAACAATAGACCTTGCAAATGAGATTCAAACATTTTTACATTGGACTTTAATAATACTCCTAATTTGTCTAATTTTAATTATGCTATAATTCAGTGAAACATTTTGATGTATCTGGAGTGGAAATAATAAAGACAAACCAACTATTAGTAGTAGGTTTCAGAGTGTCCCCAGTAGTAGTTTTTACTTATCAGTCTGAAGGGCAAGAATGAAGAGGCATCACTGTGTGCACTATTCCATTCCCAAGACATCATGACCTTGTTTTTCCTTGGCCTCTGTGTTGGGGCCTCTCTCAAAGAGCAGTACAAACCACAATGTGCCACGGAATTGCAGAAATCCACTGGCAGGGCTAGGCTACTCCATCGTCAGCCCTGGCTGATACTGGCTTAAAGGTCCTACTGCAAGGGTCATGAGGATCCCTGTCTCTTCTGGTTCAGTACGCGGAGTTTCTCCAGCTGCTCACTGCGCTGGCTCTGGACTGTTATCAGCGTCCGATTCTCCTCGGCAAGCACGCTGAACTCCTCCTGAAGATGAGAAGCTTCCTGGCTCATCATTTCATCTTCAACCAGGGCAGCTATCAGCTCTTTCCTGTGACAAAAAAGAGGAATCTGTCATAGTCCCATATTTTATACTTTTTTAACTGGTAACAGCTGCAACGAATGAGGCATTCAAAGTTCCAGAATTAAATTTAGAACTAACAGTGGGCTGAAATTAAAAAATAAAATATATTTGAGACGTTGTACTATTTTGGTTCCATCAGAACCAGAGTGGAAAAAAATCTGACTCAGAAAATCTGTTCAAGGTAAGTTCAAGGACATGAAACTTAACACTGACCAAAAGTGTCAAATTTGTGTTTCCTTCCCCATGCTTAATGTCAAGATGAACTCTTACATTAAAGTCAGGAAAAACGTCATGTTCTATTATCATCATTAATATAAAACTGATCTGCCGGTGCTGCAGATTTTTTTAATTCCAATGCGTGAGCCAAACACTGCAGAAAAAAAAATCTGTTCATGAATGGGATTTACTGTAGCTGAAAGAAAACGTGTGTGTTTCTTTGTTTGATTTTATGCGGAAATTAATCTCTATGCCTTTTTTTCCAAATGAATCAAATTGAGGAATTGAAATCTCAGCAGGGCATTTCCCTGTGACACACTTGAGTTTCCTGTCAAACACAGCAGAGAGCACAGAGACAAGGATTGTTTCCAGTCTTACAACCTGTGTGTTGCTGATAAGTATTTAACTGTTACAGGGTTTATGCTGATATGCCTCTGTAGATCAACAACACAAAAAAGGAACATGTGGAAAAGCTTGTAAAAACCGGCCTTTGTACACAGAAAAGCTTTTTTGTGTTGTGCTGAGGGGAGGTACTGTAAAGTATGGTGCAATAACCTTGGATAAATTCCAAACTAAGCATTGTAGTTAGGCCATAAAAAAGCAGAAAACTGACTTTTAAAATGACAAGGAAGCACTATGAACTATAGCAAATTAAAGGAAAATGAAGTCTTGTTTATAGACAAATATTGCTGTATTTGAAGTGTGAACATTCATTTTTGTTTTGTTTAATCCAATAAATATTTTACACAGTGCCCTGAAACATTCATGCCAAGTCACAGTGTTTTCTATTTTCTCCCTATAAACAGCAAGCACGTACTGTACATAAACACAATAGAATGATATGTCCTTTGAACTCAAAAACTAATGATTTGATAAGTGCTAAGGATTTATGTTAATAATGCAACTTCTTATGTTTCATTTCAGAGCATATGGGGGAGCAGTATGTGTCACTGGTTGCTGCAGTACAAAAAAAGTAAACTCCGTATCAGAGCCACAGTGACTCATCAGGCCAGAGCTTATTTTGGTTTCCTACCACAGTAGAAGTAAAATCAACCTTGTCCCATGACTTAAAACTCAGATGAGTCTTGGCAATAATGCACAACCAGTTGTGTGTAGCTCATGTATGTTTGAGCAAAAGAATTTCTCAGACTGTGAAGAAATGTAGACTTCACCCAGTCATTAATTTCCTAGCCACTTCTTCCAATTCCTGATCACAGGTGAGTCACAGCCAATTAACATACCAGTATGTTTTTGGACTGTGGGAGGAAATGCACACAAACACAGGGAGAACACACAAACTCCATGCAGATAGCACCCCGGGAAATGCTCCCTTTTTATTCTGGAATTTTACTGTAATGTACAGTATGTTTCTCTCGCCTTTCATGCGCATGCTGAGTATAAGCTGTAGTTGCATTTCTTATCTAGATTATACTCTGTGCTGTAATAAACAGCTGTTTATTTGGATTTTTCTTTTTCTGACCTTCCAGCACCAAAGTGTAATAATCTTACCTCTGTGAGCATGTCTTCTGTTATTGTTCATATTATGTTAAATTCTATAAATCCAAAACTTATTCCATGTAAAACGTATTATCTTTTTCTCCCATAAAAGCGACTAGCTAATGAAGATGGGAATAAGAAGAACCAGATTAACAAACCTCAAGAGGCGGATCCTCAAAAGACACTAAGTAACATGATTTTAATAAACAAGGTTTGATTCTTTGCTGATTTGCTTTCCCTGTGATTCATTTTGTAAGCTTTAAAAGTCCTTTGTAATGATGTATGTTAACTACAACTGTATAAGGTGAATTTGCTATATTTTTTCTGGACAAGTACTTTTGTCATATATAGAAATGTTTTATTTACATCTGGCCACTGGCCCAAATCTGAGATGGAATCAGTTCAGACTAATAGAACATGTGGCTCTTGTTATTTATTTCCTTTGAATAAGTGAAAGTATACATTTATGATTTTGCCATTTTTTTCTTTCACATAAATCTAGGGTCATGCTACAGCCCACTGCCTAAAGTCAAGATGGGAGAACAGGACTATCCTTCTGACCTAATCTGGGATATTAGCACATCTTTTTAAGAGATTTATGGAGACTGGTTGCTTACGTCAGGATTTAGTGAGAATTGCAGCAGCTGTGTCGAATGAGCGCGGCTGCCTTCATTCCTCCCGAACTTTCATTAAAAACTCCATTATGAAATGTTACTCTTAACATATGTAGAGTAACATATTTTTTCTGAAGGAATTACTCTTGTATTCAAGGCATTGTCCGGAAAGTTACAAAAGTCTCTTATACTCCTGGAAAATGAAGGCGTGACTCCCTAGAGTGTACTGCATTTAGTTCTACAGCCTTAATGGCAAATTCTTGAAGATCATTACCCTATTTCTTTTGCTAGGGATTAGAATTTTCAGTAAAATAAGGGGTTTTCATGCAGGATGATTCATTGAATAGGGCACATAAAATATTATGTTAAAAGCTGACTTTCAGGGAGCATCTTAAGACAAAGTAATAAAAAAATAACTTTTAACGTTAGCGATTTGTTGAAATATGGGTTGGGAAGATAGGGCTTTTCAGAATATTTACTGCTGTTTGTTTTTGATTGAGTAGAGAGGTATTTTATAATGACGTATTTTGAAAATAACAAGGTATTAGAGGTACTGTAACACGTGATTGATGTAATGATAGGGTGTATTTTTAAACAATGCCACAGCACATCAGTATGGTTACCTCCAGATCATACAGTGCTGAGCACAGGGTGTGGAGTTGTGTCAGACTGGCAATGGACTCTGCAAGGTTTAATGGCTTCAATTACAGGTTTATTAAAACAATTACATTTATTCTTTTTTTTAATTCATAATGTGTCCTAAAATGTCAGCCAAGGTATGGTATGGTTTGGTTTCACTACAGTAAACATAAATAAACCCAACCCAACAGACAGTTTTTTTAACACTTTTGTTGAGTTATGTTCAGGGAAACGGGATTATGATTATTAAAGGAATATTTCAACCACAGCAATGTAATTGAAGCTACTGGTATAGGAGTCATAAGATAAATAGTTCTTTCTACAGTGTGATTATTCAAGATTCCAGACATTTTTTTGCAAACACTAGAGCATGTAACCTGTAGTTATACATGATTTGATTCAAGCTGTCCAGAAAACAACTGCCCGTCCAAGTTCTCCTGAACTGAAATTAATTCACAGATGGAATTCCCCTATCACTCTACACACCCCCAGCTGTACTTTTAATGTTCTGCCTTATCTCAATCATGGCCTAACCTCAGAACTAGACTTAAAATTGTTGAATAGTGAATACCTACTCTACATGTGAGCAACTGTGCGCTTTTAAGACATGCAATATTCATTACCATGGAGTTGGTTTCAAAACTTCAAAATAAAAACATTGACGCAACCTGGAAATCCCCTGATTTCATATACAAAGTGAACTTAAAATAAAGTTGACTAAGCTTTTAATAGGGGGCAGGGGCCAGAGTGACACGGAAGAGACACCGTTGTAATCTTTTAATGTAAAGAGGTTCTCATTCCTTCTTTGGATCTATAAGTACAGCTATAGTGTTTATATCTTGATACAAGTCCAAGATAATCCATCCATTCATTTCTTAAACACTTCATCCAGTTCAGGGTCACTGGGGAGCCAGAGCCAATCCTTGCAAGCAGCGGGTGCGAGGTGGGATGCATTCTAGATGGGACGCCAGTCCATCCCATGCCCATCCCAGGGCCCATCCCATCCCCATGTCATGCCCATCCCAGTCTATCCCATCCACATGTCATGCCCATCCCAGTCCATCCCATGCCCATCCAATGCCCATCCCAGTCCATCCCATGCCCATCCCAGGGCAGACAGACCCAAACACTGTATGCTCTTTCACCACGGCCAGTTAACCGACCAGTATGTCTTTGGACTGTGGGAAGAAACCAGAGAATCCGGAAGACACTTACACAAACACAGGGAGAACATAAAAGTCTAAGTAGCCTGTTTCTCTGTGTACAAATCTGTATTTGTTCATAGTTCATGCATGGGGGCTTAGATAAAACTAGAAGTTATTTTGATAGTTTTCAAAAGGAAAGTAGCATAGTGAATTGTGGTTGAAACCTATGCCAAGTTACTGAGCCAGTAATATTAACAGCATTAGGAAATGTGAAATGGAAATTTGTTTTCATTGGACATTTCTTACCTTAAAGAAGTGAAAGTAAATGACATAACAAAACAGGAAGGGTGACATCAGCAAACAACATACCTAGATATGAACAGAAAACCTATTTAGCTGGCAACAAAATATTGCTTGTTTTGTGAACTTTCTGATGCTCCGTTCCTATAAAAGATGTCAATTTGCATTTTCCAAATCTCCTTTTTGCAATGACTTACTTCCGTTCCTCCAGCCGAGCAATCTCCTTCTTGACATCGTGAAACTCTTTGGCCATTTTGCAGTGGTCCTTGTACACTTGCAGGGATTCAGGCAATGACTGATAGGGAGGCAGCGGCTGGAGAAGAAGTGAAGAAATGAATTTGTATGCATGAGAAGAGGCAGGGATAAGCATTCTGATAAAAGCCAAGTGGAAGCTGGGGCATGTTGAGAAGCAGGTCAGAAATAACAACTGAAAGGAGTGTGATAAGCCTATCAGCTAAGGCCAGTCAACTCTCAGCACTGCTGTGAGAGCTTAAGCAAGCTGCCTCTGGCATGAAGATGACACTCTTGTCTTCACTTGACTGACTAAAGAAACAGGGCAACCCCAAAAAAAGCTGAGAAAGACAGTAATAAAAGTTTATGTCGATAATTTCGTGCAGCATTTTTTGTAGTTTTTCCACCGATTTTATAGTATTAAAACTCACATTTACTTTACTACGACACAGCATTTCTCATTCATCATTTTACCATATACAGTATCTATATTTATGTTTTCTCACGCCTTACTAATCCTTACTCTGCTTTTCCCTTGTTATACCAGTGAAGATTCTTAAGGGTCCACATTTGCTCATTAATGCCTCATTTTCCCTTATATGAATTTATTGTTGTTATGTACTGTACTGCTTATGCTAATTGCTAAATAAATCATAGTAATCCTGTGCATTTATATGGCACTTGGGATGTGGAGGTGACCCACAATGGATGAAAGGTCCAACCTTGAGCTATAAATAATAATACTGTATCTTGTATTTCCTTTTCTTTTAACATACAGTATGCTAACATGTTTATTTCTTCAAATTGGTCCCATATACAAGAATTCAATTTCCAAATCCAAGGGTGTACAGTAACTTGGCTTAAAATGGATGTAGTTATAATAATACAATCAAAACATTTAGCTTATTCCTTCATGAAAGTATGTAATGTAGGTTTATTGTGTGCTCTAACTGTACAGATACATTTCAAATTAATTATTTTCGTATTGTCTGTTTTTTAAGAGCCCCTTCTGAGAGATGCATGTTAGCAAAATATCTAAGGAATTTGAGATGGGAGGTAGAATACTTCATTAATCATACCTGCAAACAGATACACACAAAAAAAGCCTAAAAATCAAGATATACGAGGGATATTGTGCAATTTGAGCAGCTAATTGTGATTGTTGGGGGAGTCAACTTTCAGGCTCTGGTAAACTGTGGGGATTCCTGTAGGAGTGCTATAAGGAATATGTGTGGGTTAAACTAATTTTACTCATTTTTAATGTGAAGTTTATACATATTGTTTGTAGAGTTTTGTAGGTACTTTTTTGTAGGTGTGTGAAACATAGCTGCTTAGACACAAACTAGTTTCTGATAATAAAATAATATTATTGTATCGTATATGAATTATAGATAGTCTATTTAGAAGAGTGACTTGGTGGTGAGGTAGATAACATTGCTACCTTGAAGCGCTAGGGTCCTGGATTCAATCTGTGTGGAGTTAGTATGCACACCCGTGTTCATGTGGGTCTTCTGGATGCTCCGGTTTACTTCCACAGTCCAAGACATTCTGGAAGTACTGTATAATTGGTTTCTGGGAAATTTGGCTTTGGTGTAATTTTGATGGTGCCCTGCAATGGACTGGCGTCCAGTCCAGAGTGTATCCTGGCTTGTGCCTGTTGCTTGCTGAAATAGGCACTCTGTATTGGATAAAGTGTTGGATGAAGCTATTAGCAAATGGATGGATGACTATTTAGAAGTCCATGTCCAATATACTGTACATCTCAGGAAGACCTACTTCAGAGCTTTTGTACATTGGAAAATTCTGACATGATGTCTTGGCAAGTCTTTGACAGTATTACTCTGTCTTCCCAAGAGTGAATGAATTGAACCAAAGGAGCCTGAGTCTTTGTTCTTATAAGTGGGACCATCTGGAAAGAAATGAAGTGCATTATACGTGAAGCCACAGCAACTGTAAAATGGGTTTTTAGAGGGAAACCCTCATGGGGGACGAACAGTAGCAGCCCACACACATGCTCTGAAAACAGTTACAACACATGGAAATTCGATGGCAGCACCACTTCCCATGTGTTCCCTGTGGTTCTTACTTCTGCTTTCAGTATGAGACAGAACAGACAAGTTAAAAATAAATTTCCCTTTGAGACTCTGACTAGCTCTTTCTGAAGTTTTAATTCCCTTTTAATTCCCACTCTGAATGCCTTTTAACTTCTGTTGTGTCTGAGATCATGTGTTTAATAAGTACTAATATACTGTAATACTAAATACACTAAGGTTTCAGACCACACACCTTAGAAAAGGTTTGGACAATGCCCTAATCATGGTCAATGTATTGTAAGTAATTAAAATATAGATTTTTTTTAACAAACAGCAAATGTTGGTTATTTGCATTTAATCCCTTAATTGAACATGTTTGATATTTAAATTAAAATCTGGACAGTTACCAAGTGTCAAAGACAAAGACACATCTTGCAGTATGTTTCGTTGTCTATAGCATTTTGGTTTCTGTAGTACAGTATATGGTGGTCTGAACTGAATAGAAATTTAACATGTAATATACTCTATAAATATTACATTATATATAATATTCATGCCTCCATAAACAGAATGCATACCCAGTAGAAAAGAAATAAGCAAAAATGCAAGTGCTGCTACCTATGAGGTTATGGGTTTGGTTACAGATTGCAGTTTGCCTGTTCTCCTTGTTTTTTCAGGGTTTTTCCTGGGAGCTTGTATTTCTTCCTACCTCCTAAAGACATACTGACTAGGACCATGCAATGTAATGGACTGGGTCCCACCGAAGGTACAGTCCTGCCCTCCGCCCTATAATACCAGGATATACTCTGCACACATACAGTACAGAATATAGTTCTGCAAAAGTATTCATATCCTTCCTAGGGTTTCCCTTTTTGTGAAATTACAAAATGATACTCTTCTTTTAGATTGAATATTTGAGTTCAAAACCTAATTGCTCAAACTGAAGACTCCTAAGGGTTAGAAAAGTTGATGTAAATGTCAGCAGAAACTAAATAGGAAAGTCTAAAATGTATTGATTGCATTATTAATCAGGCTCTTGAGTTCAATATTTTGTGGGGACACCTCTAGTAGCAATTACAGCTGCAAGTCTTTTTAGGTAAGTCTGTGCCAATGGTACACATCGGCTAGGTGCAATTTTTGCCCATTTTTCAAAGCAGATTTGCTCAAGCTCTCTCATGTTGCTTGGGGATCACTTACAGGCAGCAGTAAGAGTCAACAGTCAGGACTTTGACTGGGCCACACAATTTATTCTTTTTAAGTCAATCCAGTGCAGTGGTAGATTTGTGCTTTGGGTTCCTGTCCAGCCAAAAGGGGAATTTTTGTCCCAGTTTGAAGCAGGTTTTCTTCTAAGATTTGCACGTGCTTTGTTCCATCTATGTTTCCATTAGTCTTGATGAGCTTTTCATCCCCGGCTGCTGAACTATAACACAATGCTGCCACCATTCATGCTTAACAGCAGGAAGATTGCTGACTGAGAGATGCCCCATGCTGGGTTTGTTTGAGATGTAATACTCTGCATTTAGACCAAATAATCCGAACGTTGGCAGGTCTGACCACCTAGCTTTTTGCCACATGTTTGCAATATCATTTATAGAAAGTGTTCTGTTGCAAAACCCCAAGTGAGATGTTTTCTTTTCAGTTCTATACAAACCCCTTTGTGAGATGACTGGAGTACATTGAACCAGAGATGTTTTCTCCCATCTCAGGTACTTATCTAATTCTTTAAAAGTCACCATTGACTTCATGGTGGTCTCATTAACCAGTTTCCTCCTTGACTGGCTGCTCCATTAGGAGTGATGCCCTGATCTAGACAGTGCATCCAATGCCTTACACTTCTAAATGATCAACTTCACCATCATAAAGAGATATTAAGGGTCTTTGATTTTTTTTTTGTCATTTCCTCATCTGTTCATTTATACAATTTTATACCTGAGTTGTTTTAAAAGTTCTTTGGTTTTTGTGGTTGAAGGTTGATATATTATTAAGATAGATATACAGTTGTATTTATTTTGAAATCCTGAGATTTATATTTATTTTGAATGTGGATTTGCCAAAGCAAAGGGTTGGAATACATATGCAGTCATAATTTTCAGCATCATGATGGAAAGCTTTAAAACAACATAATGTGAAAAATGTGCCAAGTTCTGAATACTTTAGCAAGGCACTGTATACTGTACATACATATTGTATATTTACTGAGCAGAGCTCCAATTTACTGTGTGCCAGGGGTCAGTGATATACTGGATCTATATTAATATTGGTCCCCCCTTCCTACATTCATTTAATACACATGGAATTAATACTAATGTTAGCTGCAATGAATAAGTGTTCATTGAAGACTGAAAAACATAGATAAAGACTGAAATATATATAAGAACAAGTAATAGGTTTATTCCATGCTGAAAAGAGACAAAAGAAAACACTGCGTTTTGGCTGTAGAGTCTTCTTCAAGAAAAACAGGGCAGTAAACAAAGGTAATGTAGCAGGAGAACAAAAGCTGGGAGAGAGGAGGAGTAGGAGGCAGGAGCAGGGGACATACAGAGTGGTCAATCAGGTAGTGTGAAGTCAGGATAGGTAAAGAGAGGTGTGAAATGAAACCTACAATGAATAGAGAGAATTTAGAAGAAAATTAGCCTGTGATCCTAGCTGCAGGATAATTTTAGTTTCTGTTGTCTTTCTGATGTAGGAGTTAGGAAAACCATCTTTGGGAACAGAGACGGAGAGATTAGTGTGTTCAGGGCTGTCAGAGGTGAAATGAGAAACAATAGGCTTGAAGAAATCTTTAATCTTAAGAGCCTTTCCTGTTTCCCCAATGTAGATGGTTGGACATTTACTGCAAGAGATACAGTAAATAAGGTTGCTGGAGATACACAATGTCATCTGAGTGATCCGGAATTGTCTTGAGGGGCCTTGGATGAGTGTGGTGTTAGATATGTACTTGCAGGTGATACAGCGAGCTCTGTTGCAGGGGAAAGTGCCTGGTGTGGATGATTGCTGAGGGTGGTCAAGGGAGCTGTGAACAAGAAGGTTATGCAGATTAGGTGGTCGG